TTTTTTTTTTTTTTTTTTTTTTTTTTTTTTTTTTTTTTTTTTTTTTTTTTAATCGAATTGATTGATTACTCGAATAATAAATCTTTTTTCGTGGGTCAAACAATTATTCACGAGAAATGAATATGCGTGTACGAGTAGTTACAATGTGTTGACTGTGTAATGCTTGTTTCGTTCATTCGTGTATATTTATTAAATTCGTGTATACTACAAGTATATTCGTGTGTTTTCAATCAAAACGATGCATATTTTATTGCGAGACGAAATCAGTTACAAAAGAAAAAATGTAACAAGTAATTCGTTCAAGTTTAAAAATTGTTCATTTGTGAACTTTCGATTTTTTTTTTTTTTATCGAATGAGCATTTGACATAAACAAATATTTGTTTCAAATGGACTACGTTCGTATTCGAAATAGTTGTTTTATTCAACTGGGAAACATTCATTACAAATCAAAAATGATTTTTTTTTTAAATTGTTACGTGTCTACAGCGTAATTGTTGAAATATAGTCGAGGAAAAAAAATTCTTAATGAAAATGAATACGCTAATTGACAACTTATATGCCATTTACAAACAGCAAATGTTAATTGCCCAATCGGTTTTAACGGTTGAAAATTCGTTTTCGTTCGACCATTGATAAAAAGTCATTGATTTTCATTTTCTAAAACAGAAAATTCCATCACGATAATTTGTTTTTCCTTCGTAAAGACTCGACTCCACGGTCACACCCGATGAAATAACAAAACGATCATCAGCGTACTTATTCCAAGAACAACACCGCTTGTGTAAACGCCATCCTTGGCAACCAACAAAAATCGATCCATTAAAAATCTTAATCCACGCACACGCGTGATAAACAAAAATCTAAAAAAAAAAAAAAAATCCCCGTTTCTTACAGCGTGTCTTTGTGGTGAACGGGCGGTGGCTTCAAACTGTCGCGATCGACCGCAGCCCCGCCGTTGACGGCCCTGTGCCTCCTGACCCCCGAGAACCTCCTGTACACCTGATCTGCCGGCCTCGCCTCCGTCTCGATCCCGTTCAAATCTCGGCTGGTGCGCCTCAGCAGTTTACCGCAAAAGAACAGCCTCATGGTTAACGCGCAGGGCCCACGTCAATCCTCCAAATTCATCGGGCACGTCACATCACTTTTCCGCACTCGCGATCCATCATGTCGTGGAAAAAAAGCTTTTCTTTTTTCTCCCCTTCCTTTTTTTATGATCCTCCACTTGGCTGAGCCACTTTAGTCGAACCTATGCAGTATACCTATTGTGATGGAGCTGTCCATGCGATTCCCCACCCGAGCACAAGTGAAGATCGATAAGGCGAGAGCGGGGGGTTTTTTTTTACCTCTATCACTGAGCAACCCAATTCTTACAATCAAAGAAAATTTCTTTACCCTCATTCCATTAATTTTTCTTTCTTTTAATTGAAACAAATTTAGCCGATCCAAAAAAGCATTTCGTACAACTAAATGAGAAATTCGTAGTTGAAAATAGAAAATTTTAATTTAATAAAATATTATTTTCAAGTAAATTATATTTTTTTACTCGTAAGAAAAGATTTAACGGGATGAGGGTAAAGAAATGTTCTTTGATTCAAAGAATTGTGTTGCTCAGTGATATGTTCTCTATCGAAGACTGCGCCGATGTGCGGCCGAGGTGAACTCGTGCGTTGCTCGGAACGTTAAAGAAAAAGAGACGGATGTATCCCGATGCCGATCTCAATCGTCGATCGACCCGCTCGTGGGTGCCCATTTGGCCGACAGAGCCGCGCTTTATCTTATCTATAACCAAAGGCCTCGCGTGTGCTTAAGCATATTTTTCCCTTGTTTTTTTTTCTTCTTTTACCCATACAATATACCCACTGCATATGCACCGGCAGTTGGTTTAATTGCAAAGGTGTTTGACCTGTTTTTTTTTTTGTTTCCTTTGCTGCACGTTTTATCGAGATTACAGGAATAATATTTGTTTATGAGTCAGTGGTGAAATTAAATTCAATTACGAATAAAGAATTCAACGTCTATTTTTTTTTTTTTTTTCTTTATCTCGCAGTGTATACAGTATTATCTGTTGTGTTTGTTTTGAGCGAAACAATTTGGTACAGTAAAAGGGAAATTTACGGAAATCATCTGGCAAAGTGAAACATCATTTCGTTCGAGTGCCATAGAAACAACCAAGTGTGTTCAATTTAATCGTGAATTATGTAATTATATGCGCGTCACGATATCTCGAAATTTCTGCAGTTTCGACATGACTTTTCGAGTACTTTGTTTATAATATTTATTTTCGATTGGAAACGGGGTACATTAAGCATGTTATTTTTTATCGAGTAGTACGTATACTTTGCGACGATACGATGCATTTTATACCTATGAATCATGACTTTAGTGATACAAAGGCACTTACAGCTTTTAGCTTTTCGAGCTTATGAAAAAATTTTTCGCGATAAGCGGCTTAGTTGTAGAGCAATCCATTATAGTGCTGTGAAAAAATGTTAATCCTTACTTGTATAATACTCCAAGATAACATGTATGTTTTTATCGACATGAGTGGGATTATTGGAGGACCAACGAGTTTATCATTAATTCAATACGGGAATTTGAAATATTTTTGAATATTTTTTTATTGTTTAACATTAACAATACGTACATTATAAAATATTCTATCGGAAAAATCATAAATTAAAACATTTTATTTTAACAAATATCTCGTCTTGGTCGACAAAAAAGAATCTTGTTTTCATCGCATTTTTTAACTTAAACCACGTTAAAAAAAAAAAAAAAAAAAAACAATTTTCCTGTAAAATCAAGAAAAATTACATTTTAACGGTAAAATTCGCCAATTGAGGTTAAAAAATATATATATAGTCGGTACACAGGTGCAGAAATTATCGGAACGATTTTAGTCCGTAACAAATTACATGGAAAGAAAAAAAAATCCTCATAATTTTTCATCCTCATTAAAATAAAATTATAACGAAAAGAAAGTTCCAAAGTGCTAAACAAAATCCAGCAAGGGCGTGTGGTACAACCCGTCACTGGCTTTAAATTAAAAAAAATATATATCAATAACATAACTTTTATTTTATTTTTTAAATTTTATTATTCCCTTTCAACTATATAATCACATAATTTATATGTATTTACAATGTAATTATAACAATATTGTAATTATAATAGTCAGAATAATAACGATAGACGTGATAGTTTGTTCCTTCATTTTCGGTAATTTTTTTTTCCTCCATATTTTCCGTACTTTGAAACGTAAGATCAAAAATTATATAATTTCTTACAACTTATACATAAATAAGATGAATTCATCTCAAATTGTTTTACTTTAATTGAATCCATGAGTATAACATTCAATTAAAAATTCTATTCTTTTTTTTTTTTTTTCGTAATATCAGTTCTCGTTAAAGGCTCCATAGAAACAATAAAGCCATTGCATACTTTTTAAACTGATGTACTACTAATTGATATCTCGTTGGATTGATTTATTGCATCATTCGTGTAACTAATCATTGACATAATTATAATAATAATAAACTCAACTACAATCGTTATTCACTCGGTCGCGCAGACTTTTGACTCGTTGAATGTTAATTGGTCGCGCGTTCGTATACGTATACATGAAATAACATTTTTTTGCTATTGTATTTTTTATTAAATTTGTTTTTTTTTTTTTTTTTCATGTTAACTAATAATAATTTTTTGTACGGGGAAATGGAAAAAAGTGGGCAAAGAGAGGCGAAGAGAGAAGTCAATCCAGAGTCCGTGCGCTCACTGTATGTTATACTTTTTTTTTTTTTTTTTTCGTCGGACGTAGCTCTACAGACAGGAAGAAAAGAACACGAAGAAGAAGAAGAGTAAGTCTTGCCCATTGTTGATTCCACGTGTAGTATTTCCAAGGCATCAGAATACAACGTAAAAGTAGTTCGCGCAGGGCAGTGGTTGGTAAGCAAGTAGGAGAAGAAGAAAAAAAAAAGAGATTGTTGTCAGATGTTGTCGCGACTGGTTAAAAATATTTATTTCGTAGTAGGAAAGGATTGTCCATAAAAAAGGAGAGACGGAAGGAGAAGGAGCCTCCATGAGAGTATAGGAGAGGAGAAGAAAAAGAAGGGAGGCTCATTTGGTGAGAGACGGTTCGTATACGAGTCGGCAAAATCCGCACTGTGGGCAGATTTGACTCTCCCCTTTTTTTTTCTTTCAAAAAAAAAAAAAAAAAAACAATACATGACTTCATTTTCACAGCACTCTAGCAGTTGGATCGGAAACAAAAAAAATCGTGTCAGAAGTTTGTCCTTGTACAGTCTGCGAGAGCAAATGTATATACATATACATATATTCCGTACAGTTTCAACAGTTTTCAGCGCGTTGTTATTGCTTGGAAGAGCAAAATTATGAAAAAAAAAAATCAACTTCAATCACACGTACAGTTGATCACTCAAACTCGTCTCATATTTTTTATGGTCCAACTTTTTACTAAAACACCCCAATCTTTCTCTCATCTCTTCCTCTCGATTTTTTCTCACTCGTTCCTTATATTTACTCTCAGAGGGAGTTTTCGCGTTGTTTCGAACTTGTATTTCGCGGTTGTGCGTCAAATTAATATACATATACTATATGTATATATTGTATATAAGTCGGATGGTCATCCAAGTCGAGTGTTTAGGTCCATTGGTGCACCTCTTCGCTCACTGCAACAGTAAGTTACGCATATTGGTCACAATGATCAGATTGCGTGGAGAGAGAGAGAAAAAAAAAAAAAAAAAAAAAAAAAAAAAAAAAAAAGAAACTGTATTTCAAGGTGGTAACGAACACGTCATATACACGTATAGACAATAATTGGAAACACATCAATTAAGTACATATATGTATATATATAGGCAATGTTTGTGTATAGTATATATACAATAAAGTATAACTTTACGCATTGGTGCATAATCGGTTGTTGATTCCCCATTCGCGTACATTTTCTTGATTCGGCTTCCCACGATGTTCCAGTTGTCGTTGGAGGTATTGCATGATATTAATTTATCGATGTTTTGCCGAAATGAGGAGGATATACGAATTCGGGGATAGGAAAGTGTCAAGTATCTTACGTTAGGTGCAAAAGGCCCCACTGAAAATTAAAAAAAAAAGGGGGGGAGGGAAGGATCGAGATAAAAAAACAAAGGTCGGACACACGCTCTTCTTTCATCTTTATTTACATGTGTATTTCTTTATGTGTACTTTTTCTTATTATTTTTTTTTTTTCCATACCTCATATTTTCACTCATATTTCTGTCTATACATCAAATTTCGCATCTCAATACACAAATAAGTATATGTAATCACGTTTTTTTTTGCTACGAATGGCACGCGTATATGTATTCAATGTTTTTAAACGTGCATCTGTTGACGCGAGAGGAAAAACAATCGTCAATGAGGCCTCGGACCCCCTCCCCCGGCCCCTGTGGATCGAAATCACCATCGCACAAAAAAAAAGGCTCTCCGACATAATAAACATCCCTTGACGTAAATATCTGTACATCATTGCCGAGCCAACTTGTCCACGTATGTCAAGTATACTTAAAATACATTTTACCAATGAAATCGGTATAGGATAGATGGTTCGATAGTGATCGACAGCAATATCGCGTACCCTCCTGTAATTCCAATGATTGACGATCGACTTTTTGGTACTATTTGGTATGGAGGGGAAGGGGGTCACCGTACCGATCACGCATAGTATTGTACCGATCTGCCCATAATAATAGTTTCGGGCGCTCTTTTGTTTTGCTCATCGCGACGATATGCTACACGTTTTTTTTTTTTTTTTTCCTTTTTTTTTTCTCACCTCAACACTCGGATTCCCCTTGACGATAATAAGAACACGCACGGCGTAAAGGAACAATTACGAAGACGGGAGGGTGGGGGGGAGGACGGGACGAAAAAAAAAAAAAAGGGCCCGCGCCCGAATCCGTCGATTTCTGTACACTACATATATATGTCTCCCTTTGATTTTTCTCACGCACGTAAATATATTCATTGTAACATATATGCTCGTTCTCCGTCGTTCGGCTCTCTCTCTCTCTCTCTTTTATCACATATAAATGTGTTAATCTCTTTCTCTCGCGCTCTCTTTCTCTCGTTCTCGGTTTCCGGGGGGTAATCCTTAATTTACTGGACCGGCTTCACCGGGGGCGCCACTGCAAAAGAAACAATAACACAGAGGGTACACTTTTATACGGCTCTCCATACCATGTTGGTACATCTACATATATATATATATACACGGCTCGTTCTTGATGCTGGTGTACATATATATATATGACATGTAAATGTTGGTGGTGTGTTGTTGTTCGCTGTTGTCTGCATATATGTTGCTCTGCGAGGCGGCGAAGTAGCGGCTGTTTTTTTTTTTTTTTTTTTTTTTCGTTTAGCTCTGCAGAGAAGCTGGCTTCGCAGTAAAGCTGGAAAAAGCTGAGTGATCGCCTTGCAGCACTTCAAAGAGGTTTGCGAGCTGGTTATTTTTTGGAAGAAAATTCTTCGGTTCCCCTCCGCCCCCTTTTGCTCCCATCTCGTTTGAAAATTAAATTTAAAAGAAAACAAAACATTCATGTACAACTGTATATTTTTGAAATATAACGTAATTTGACGGCTAAAAACGAAAACTGACGGCGTAAGGGAGAAAAACGTACACGTGCCCATGGTAATGTCGCAAAAATCGCGCCTCGAAAGAAGAAAAAAGAATTTTCTTGACTTTATATACAGACAAATTATTTCAACTTTTATGAAAGTTCAAAAACATCGCGGCAATTGCGGCGAAACTTGTTTCTTTGAGACACCGAAACGCGTTTTATAATATACAAAATTCCAATGATACAGCTAAAATATCCCGCAAAAAATGAATAGTAGAAGCCAAAAATCACTTTTACGTGTATATATGTACACACACACACACACACACACACACACACACACACTGCAGTATAAAAATATATATACACCAGATGTTGGTAGAAGAACGCCAGGCAGACTGTTAGTTCAGAAGCAGCTGCACAACACGTTCAAAGTTGAAATCATTTAAAAGTAAAGATATATATTAAAGTCTTCGTCGAAAATCCATAAGTATATATACAAGCCGGCTAAAAGAAAATTTTACACATCAGAAAATCAATTCTCATGATATTTTCAATGCATTTATAATGGGCAAAAAAACCAAATCAGCAGCAGCAGCAGCAGGCATTCCGCGACAAACACCATCCTCCGAGTGGCAGAAAACAATAGAAAAATCAATCAGGATGTATATGCATCGTCCATCCGCATACTTGTTCACATCCTTTGGCACCAAAGATGCTGCTTCCAAATAATCAAAACTATCGCAACTTTAGCTTTTTTTTTGCACACACGCGCAGCAGATGTAAATATATTTTCGATGAGCACAACTTTTCGGGTCCAAGCAAAATGTTGCATCGAGAACTCAAATGGATGATAACGTATACTAATGAAAACACGTACTTTACCTTACAGACGATTGGCCAAGGCGTCTCCAGGAAGTTTCCTTGGGGGTCGATTACATTATGCATATTCTATCGCTTTTTCAAACCACTCAGCAGGCAAGGTTTAGGCAATGAAACAAAAACACCTTCATCCAATCGAGGGTTAAACTTGGGGGGGAAAAATGGCTCCAACCAAAAAAAAGGGGAACACATCTTTTTGCAATCCTGGGGACACTCACATGTCGACTACTTATCAAAAAGGACTTTCATGCGTAAGGGATTAACTCTTTTCTGTGGTAATATTTTTCACAGTCAATTAAGTATAAGTATAAAAAAGGTGGCGTTAGAATGCAGTAGGTATATACTCACTAGTGAAAGGATAGAAAAAAAAGTAATTACGTGAACGTAAAATTACTTAAAATTAAAAAAGAAAAAAAAAAGAAGACAAAGTTAAATCTGATAACTTAAAATTCGTGTGAATGTCAAAAGATGAAAAAATGGACGTGTACTGAAGAAACTTTATTGTCCGATACCCAATGATAATTTATATATGGTTTACGAGAGCAGACCTGTCCAGTACATATATGCATCATCTCGTAATGTCTCGATAAATATAATTATACATATGTATGTATGTATCTACACAAGATATCGGCAGTTGATAATAATATTATTTATAATAAAATTACGGATTATTACGAACAGTAAAAATCGCTCGATCGAAGCGAATCGTTGAGAGCTCTCATCCTTAATTGTTTTATTTCTTTTACTTTATACTACGACATGGTCGTAACGTAAAGTTCATCATTCCGTTTTTTTTCTTTATTTATTTATTTTTTTAATAATTTTTTACATAATATATATATATTTAACAATAATTAACGGACAGCCGCGATAAAAAATACCAGACGTGGTGACTCCGGAAAACGAGGGAACGAGTATGCAATGAAGAAACACACAAACAAAGGGGAAAAAAACACCCACGCACGCACTTGCCTCGGCGAAATCTACTATCAAATTTACGTTCAAACTGGGCACTCGCAGGAAGTTGTTATCTTAATTTCAACAAACGATTGAGGATTTCAAAAATCACGCGAAAAACGTATAGGTAAAAAAAAAAAAAAAAAATCAAATGCCCAGCTCCAGCAACTTTGACATGAGATTTCTATTAGTAACTTGACAATTTTTTGTCGATAACTATAATTATCTGCTATTAGTGTAGGCCGATCGCACACGAAAGGAAAAACGTTAAAAATAAAAAATAACCGGCATTAGTACACACATCAGATACACGAGCTCTCCCTTCTTTTTTCTCATGTATATATATATAGCTTTCACATTTTGTATCATTACAACAAGTAATATGGATAATTTCATTTCATCATTTGCTCATGACTTGTTATAATATGCAACGTAAAAAAAAACGTTTCATGTATTATATACTAAAAGCCGATCTACCCGCACCCTATTACTTCCTTTCCCACCAAATTTAAAAAAATCACACCGATTTATACATTTATACGTAGTAATAGTTAATAATGCTCTTGTAAAATAATTTTTTTTATTTTTTAAGCTATCTATGATCGTTTACCCTTCGACTTAGTTGATACTTTTCATACCGATTTGCGCCTCCTGCCGGACGCTTCATGCGCGACCTATACACTCGATGATACAACATATTTATCGTAAAAATGGAACGCGATTGAAATAAATGATCGTTGCTCTGCAGCGTTAATTACATTTAATTTTAGGTATTACGACAATCGATCGGTATCGTCAATCTTGTTTTTCGCGCGATCGGCATGACATGATTTTTTAATACGCGAACGCGCGTTACGCAGTCCAGGACTTTAAAACTGATTATTTAAAATTATTATTATTATAATTATTATTTTGTTTTGGAACTAGCATTATTAGGTATCGTTTTTTTATCTGTTATTAATAAACTTTTTTCAAATTTGATGTATATTATTTGTACTTTGTATATTTATATACTGAATTGGACTATTTTTTTTTTTTTTTTTTTA